GATAATTAATTATATGGCTTTACATAAAATTCACACATAAATATATATTTAACATTTGAGAAATTTATTTAAATTAAATATGTATATACATAAGATTAATCTCTACGTATGTATTTCAGTGAAAAATTATGCAATTTCATAATTTATAAAGAAGGGAGTGATTTATTTGAATTTTCTATAATTGAAAAAAGTATGTAAATATTTAGAAACAAAAAACTTATAAAACATTAAAAAAGTACATTTAAAAATACTTGCTTCAATTATAAATAAACAATTGAAATATTATATTATACCATTAATAATAATAATTGATTCAATTAAATTCCAATATTTGCATTTAATTACTTTAATTAAATAGTATATAAATGTAGATAACAAATTGAAAATATATGTTAAATGAATTATTTGTATGAATGGATACAGACCATAAAACTTTATAAAAATTTAATATAAAAGAGGTTTATCAATTAGCCCCTTGAATTGTTAAAGATCATTTTAGTTATTTCCATTCTTGCAAAAATTATGATTATCTATTGCCGATATTGTGGAAAGCGTTAAGTTTTAGTATCAATGAACAGCGTTGAAAAAGGAAGATTTTATAGATGGCAGGTTTTTATAGATGGAAGGTTATAGATGGCAGCCTATATTCTTATAAAACAGATGATTTTGCGCGTTTCTTGGCGGCGACGGCGCTGTGTCTGCTCATCGTAGAAAATCTGTCAAAAGTGCATGAAAGAGCAAGAGAGGCGATTTCATAGAGCGATGTTAGATTACCCTCGATAGCGGCCTTGCAAGGCTATAGTGGAAATAGGAATTAAGAGAATTGTAAAAACCAACAGGCAATAATATACGTACGACTTACTAACAGACTTTTTTGAGAAACATAACCCCTCAAGGATACTACTACCGAGGAAAGGGAAAGATAAGAAATTTCCTGAGTGCGTTTCTCTTATTCACTGGACACCAGTATGTGATAACAACCTGATTGCGGTAATTTGTGTTTGCATTTGTGTCTCTGCTCGCACTCATTGATCATCAGGCTTTAGTATTCTATAATAGAGAAAACGATACAACTATGAAGAGGGTCGAAACCGGGTTACTCTACTTTCTCTGCCTGGCAATGATTTTCGTGTCATTCTGTTATCCTATAGGTACGTAACAAAGGTCCGTAAATCTCTATCTCTGAATTGTTTATATGCGATCCTTTACACAGATAATATCTGTTTCTCCTATTGCCACTTTTTTTTATCTTTCTCTTCCTTATTATTATGAATTGATGCAGCTTCAAGAAGTACTTGTACTTAGGAGCTATATGAACCAACAACCATAAAATTGTTCTAATTTGTAGAAAGATATCAATTATGATCTTTTGTTCTTGGCACAATTGAAGCAATTAACTATTGTAATTAATTATATGAATATTGTTTTATTACAAATAAAATATTATAGTTATTTTTTCGATTATATATCTTCATTCAATTATTAATTATTTAGTTACTTCACATCTTCTCCGTTTTTTTATTTATCGACAGACTTTTCCTTCTTTTTTCACAATCAGATCTTATTAACCACTTTGCTTACGCTTTCTTTGTCGATGTACAGTATGATTCTTTCATTTTCTTACTACATCTGTTGTTTATTTATCTTCAAAATTAAACATTCAACAAATTTTTTACTATATACTATTCTTATAAATTTAAAGAATTAATTCCTACGCGAGGAGTAAGACTATAGGTAGTATCTGATAAAACTTATATATCTCTCAATATTTGTAAAGAATAGTTTATTCTTTTTTTGTTCATATTTTATTTTATTCATTGAATTTAGTACTTATTTATTATTTTATGAGCAATTCTTACTTTTTAAACATTACTTTTAAAATGTTCTCCGCTCGTCTATTTTTTTTGTTCATAAATATTTGTATTAATGTTTAATTACTATGTTATTGTTTTATAGAAATGCTTATTTTTTACATTTTCATACCCTTCATTTAACAATTTAATAGTAATGTCCATATAGTTTATATTTTCTTTATTATAATTAACTTAGTTAATCATTATTGCCATTACATTCTGTATTTTTCTCACAGAACTCTTCATTTATTCATTGTACATTTATTGTACGTTTTATAATATTTATATTTTTATATTTTATAACATTTTTATATCTAATTTTCATATATACTTATGCATATATATTTCGTTAAAGTACCATCCAAAATATGTTTGAAAACGAAATTTTTATTACAAGTTTAACAGCTTCAAAAAGCAATGATATTTCCATTAATTAAAAAGCAAAAACAAATAACAAATTGTTTCCCTTCAACTATACAATATAATAAAAATCTTAAACAAGAGTATATTTGTCAAAAATATTTTTAACAATTCTTCCTCTCTTTAAAATTTGATCTTATTGAAAATAGAGAATAAATTAAAAACTCGAAAGCCAAAGTGAAACGTTTTCTCTTTATATTGAAAAGATTAGTCAAGAATTTTATTTTTAACCTTCCCGTTTACAATTTTTTTTTCACAATTCTTTCCTCTTAGTACTTAATCAGCTTCTCCTGTTAAGTATTGTGATTATGTAAAATTGTTTCCACCATTAGAGAACGAACTTGCATCTCAAGTAACGACAATGATCCACTTCCGGCTTGTTATTTTTACCTGATTTTTTCTATTGCTTAGGTTTGTCATGTTCATCAATGTATTTCATGTCAATATAAAGAAATATGTTGTGTTATTATAAAAATATTATTGGAAAACAATACTAGTACGAGATTTACGAATCAATAAGAAAAAAAATAATACAAATGATTTTTTTGATCAAGAGTTTTAGGTTCGTACTTTTTCAATTGAAGATAAAAATTACACAAAATAAAAAAAATTAATTATGAAAAATATATAGTAATGTTGTAATAAATATAGATGAACTCATTTTTAAAACTCAATATTTGTGTTAAAAAAACTAAAAAATAAAGAAGAACTACAAAATTATTCTATTAACTATTCGTTGCCTTAACTTTAGTAATCTTAGTAATTTATTATACTATATGTTATTAGACAATGTTGATATGATATTCTGTTTTATTTATTTTTAATGGATCATATAAAAACATAAATATATTATTAGCTATTTATATTTAATTTTTTCATTTACATTTATGTTTATTATTCCTACGCCAGTGATTCTTATGTATAACAAATTTTCAATAAATATAAACAAAATTTAATTAAAAATATTGCTACTAAAGTTTAAAAAAGAAGAGTGACATTGCTATTCGATATTCATAACAACATTTTTTACATTTATATCGAATTATTTTTATTAGCTTCGACGAATTATTCATGTTATTATCAAAAAATATTTTCCTTGGTTATTTTCAAGAAAATACAAAGGGTCTGTTTCTTGTTTCTTCTTTTTATTACTTTGTAATTCATAAGCAGAATAATGTATTATGAGTTAGTATATGAGCTTGGTTCTAATCAATAAGAAAAGATTGATTAAAGTAGTGGTAAAGAAAAAAATATATCAATAACTTATAAAATGATCAATTATTTTAGTTTGTTATCTGTAAATGCGCTGAGTAGATAAAATTATATTTAAATTATATTAGTACAATATATAGTAATAGGAATTATCAATTTTTTGGTCAACGCAAACATTATGGAGATATTATAAAGTATGAAATGTAGAAACTCCTGTATTTGAAATATTAGAAATAATTATATTTTGACGTTCAAACTGTTAATATAATAAGTGATAATCAAAGAATATTGAATATAAAATTTGAAAAAGATATCGGTTAAATTATAAATCATAATAACTAATATTTGTATAACAAATGTTAATATTAATGATCTATTTAGAATTGTAAATAATGTTTCCAATTTAAGTAATAGTCATATAGATTATGTTGTACGTGTGAGCTTAGTTTCAATTTTATTTTAAAAATATCTAAATTTTCTTAAATTTAAAATATAATATGCTATGTGTAAAATTACTTAATATTCTAAGTTTCATCTAAATATATACAAAATTAATAAAAAAAATTTAAGTATGCATACTCATTATTTTACGATGTTATAACTTTTTAAGTCATTAAAAATTTTTTTTAAATTAAATTTTTATAATTTTGTATACATCATATAATTAAAAGAAATAAAAAAATTCATTTTGACAATTCATTACTGAAAATTAAAAAATAATTTTTACAAATATATAAAATACGAAACATTTATTTTAATATTTAATTTGGTTACGGTGTTGTATTTTTTTCAATATTTCAATAAGTATTTTTTTTTAATTAGGCGTAACAAAAATTTCATACAAAAGAATATATTTAACAATTACATAAAAACTTTTTATCAAAGTTTTGTATTCAAATATGTCTATTTCTATTCATGATTAAATTTTAAATATTATTTAACAGAAAGTAGCATGTTTTGTATAATATTATATATATAAATGTATACACAAATGTAAATAAAAAACAAGTACATATTGCTCGCTTTAATATTATTCTTAAATGATTAATTTTTATCGTTAATAATTAATTAAATATTGTTCGGAAATCCAGTCATTCGGTGGTCGAAGGACCAAGATGGTTGGATTAGACCATGTCCCCCAGTTTACTGGTGAGAAAAGAGTGGTTAAGTGAAAAGGGTAATGCTTCAATTCAGTATTACAATTTCACAATTATGATTCAACGTTGATGATGAGAATCATTAAGATCTTGCCGTTCCTTGGTGGTTTTCACGAGGTGGTAGCATGCACTACATGTCGAGGTAGGAGGTCGTAAATCTCCGGATCCTCTTTAGTATAGTGCTACTTGGTGGTGTGTCTTGTCGCGAGTCTCCTCTTGATGTTATGTGGTGTGGAAGAGTGAAGCAGTGGTTCGATACCTAAAAGTGGCACCGATACGTATCAGATGGAATTTCATGGACTTCACCATCGCCTTCCATTTTCCTCCCATGTCAAACGTAGCAGGTGGATTGGATTCCCATTGAGCTGTCATTTGAGATAATTGTAGCTATCTGATGACGTTCGTGAGAAACTTGCGTGAACAGTTTTTGAGAGCAGTTTCCGCCACAATGAATGTTGCATCATCATCAGAGTACAATGTATGAGGAATGCCTCTGTTATCCGATAATCTTCAGTATGCCGATAAGAATCATTTGTTGTGTAGTCACTGACTACATTGATGTGTACCATAAATGTAGCAAAATACATAAATACACAAACCATGCCTTATGGACGTGAAATGCTGATCTCTCTTTGCTTCGTGCACTAGGGCACTATACGTAGGGGTCAGATGCAGTCCTATGCTGATCCCTCTCTGCTACCACTTCGTGCAATTGTACTGTTCGAGAATGTAGAAACTCCCAGCCCATTAGACATCTGGGAAACTCGAGATAAGAGTTAAAAAAAAAAGGCGAACTCTCGACTACTCGAGGAATAAACATTCAAACGCGCCTCGGATTAACTAAATCTAAACAATTCAGCAAAACTTCGAATATCAAAAGAAAATACAATTCATAAACACATCTGGCGAGAACAAGGTCCAAGTGCAAAAAGCCGTCATAAAACTAATGCTACGAAACATTTGACACGGCCTTGCCACAAAGCATCTATCGGCGACAGATCATAATACTTCTGGCATAATCAAGTCATAAAAATATAAGCAAAAACCAACTCGTCTTATATCCGAAAAAGGGATATTGAAGGCAACACTGCACGCATACGCTGTTGTCAAACCCAGCTACACGTGGCTCGGATAGTGAAGCGAGAACGTGTCAAAGAAGTCCCCCTCATGGTGGGGATGCAAGTAAGAATCAATTCGTTTGGAGACGCCCAGAAAGAGGCGCTCTGATTGGAAACGCCAAGAAGCAGGAAATTCATAAGGACCACGCGGTGGCCGAGAATGCCTTCAAGAAAGACGCCGGCAAGGCGCACGAGAGTCTCTTCTCACCAGAGAAGCCAGCAAGGCTGCTTCTCCAAAGGAACGCCAAATAACAAGGATGTAGACATACACAGTAAAGGCCGATTAAGAGGCTAAGCCTAGTCATATCCAACTCATAACAAGTGTAAGATAAGTGCAAATCAAATCATGCACTCGCAGCAGTGCAAGACAAAGAAAAAGGAACAAGTAAAC